ACATTACACGTGCAAGGTCGTTGGTGTCAAAATCCAGCATCAACAACTTGTAATATTCATAAATGATTTTGTAACATTTAAATGCAGATTTGATAATAAGTATGATATTGTAAGACCTAATATGATACTTATAATATTGAAACAACTTGTAATTTTTTTTTTTTTTAATTGAGATTTCTGGGCCCCTATTTTCCTCAAGGTCTACTACAAGCCGAACCTAGGACACACCAAAACTTGCTTAGTCCTCAAACCCATTGAATACCCTACAAACTTAATAGATTGAGTAAGTCACAAATATGATAGGTGACCACTTCCTTGGTGAGTCTTGGGGTCCACTAACAAGCCGAATCCAATGGTCTACCATCCAGCCATAAGGTAGTTGGTTCATTTTAATATGATATTATTTAACCAGATATACCGATCCGTAATTAAATATTATAAACACAGTAAAAAGGTACATTTATAATATTAAGCGTAATGTTTATAATGACAAAAATATTATAAATGTACTTTTTTTACTATGCCTATAATGATCGGTAAGTCACAAATGTAATGCTTTTCACTTTTAAAAGATATTGTTTAACAAGATATAACAATCCGTCATTAAATATTATAATTCTAATATTTAATATTATAAATAAAGACACCTTTTTTACTATGTTTATAATGATAAAAATATTTTTTTTCTGAGTTCGTCGATTTCTTCCATCCTTACGTAAATAAACTAGAATTGCTTCATAATAAATAACATCTTCATCAAATCATCATATAGTCATAGGTTGTGTTTCATTCCTTGTTATATAAATTGTTGAAAACAAAAACAAGCTTACCAATGATTTAAAATTTAATAATTCAAATAATTTTAAATCGTAAGTTGAAATAATTAATCTAAACCCCTTACTATTGATATTAAGTATGAAAGTGAGAATATATAAAGAAAAATGCTACGGACACCGACGCTTTACACCTAATTTTTACACCGAACGATATGTCCACTGAATCAGACGAGTCACGTATCACGTTAACAAATATTCTGCGAATGAATGGCCGTCCATCAAATATGGACGACCGTTCATTTGAAATGGACTCCCGTCCATATTATATGGACGGTCATCCACCTAGAATGGACGCCCGTTCATAGTTTAAACTAAAAAAATTTAGGTTAAATTGTTTATGGACGCCCGTCCTCTTATGAGGACGACTGTCCATATGGACGGAATTCCTTTTACTATGGACGGTCATCCATATTATATGGACATCCGTCCATATAATTTCAGATGAAATATTCATTTTTAAATTATAACATTTTTAGATGAAATAAAAAAAAAAATTGATTTTAAGTAAAAGTATGGACGCCAGTCCACTCATTTGGATGGCCGTCCATTCTCAATTTTTTTTTTCATTTATAAACAAAATGCAAAGCATGAGCCCTTCACTGTGAAATTTAGACGTATTTTGTGGTTTTTATCTTGCAGATAGTCGAAGTCCTGATAGAATCTTTGACTCTTAAGGAGACCCCTATTCCAACCAAAGTTGCTAGGCTCATGCTCGTCTCTGATGTTCTCCATAATAGTAGTGCTCCTATAAAAAAATGCATCTGCTTGCCGTACCAAATTTGAAGCAACATTACCTGACATAATGGAGAGCTTTAATGACTTGTATCGTAGTATAACTGGAAGGATTACTGTTGAGGCCCTAAAGGTGAGCAGTAATGGCAACTTTCATTTTGACTTCCTGTTGTATTTTTCATTTGTTCTGCTTCTGGTTTTGATGTGATAATTATTTGAGTTTTGGCAGGAATGAGTTTTAAAAGTATTGCAAGTGTGGTCAGATTGGTTTCTGTTTTCAGATGCATATGTGAATGGATTACGAGCTACGTTTCTTCGGTCCAGGAATTCAGGTGGGACTCCTTTTCATTCTATCAATGGTGATGCTTCAGAAATAGAAAAGAAAACTAGCTCTGAAAATAGCAAGTAATATCACAGGGTCCAAAATTAAGGGATGGCCGTTCAGAAATGGTGAACGACTGTCCCTTCATTTTATTTAAAATTTTATTTTTTTAAGTATGAACGGGCATCCATCTAAAAGGGACAATGTAAAATTTTTTAAAATTCTTTGGACGGTCCATAATAAATAGACACCTGTCCATATAAGATGGACAAGCGTCCATTATTTTTCTTTTAAAATTCTTTGGACAGTAAATGGATACTCGTCCATACAATATGAACAGGAGTCCATAAAATATGGGTAGACGTCCATCATTGTTTTAAAAACCGGGCCGGAGGGCAACCCACTCTGATGGCCGGGTCACGATTCAACCAGTCCAATCGGTTGACCATCGATTGGACTGGTGACGTCATCACAGATCATGATGACGTCAACACATTTTTTAAAAAAACACTTTTAAACCACACAATAATATGTTTTCTTTGTTTCCTTATACATGAACCCCTTTTATATCTAACATATTCCTTTTCTGGTTCTCTTTTTAATCCATTTGTACATATGCTTACAAATAAGATCAATCACAACCCTCCATTTCAATATCTTTTTTCCTTTGTTTTTTCCCACATCAACTTTGCTTTTTAGTGTTCTTTTTTAAGATTTCGGTGGTGGTTAAACCAAAGTATATAATGTAGTGGATATGGTTGATGAGATCGATTGATAAAGAAAGAAAGAAAGGCTAACTGCATGAGAAACCAAAGTATATAATCAATTGATCATGCAACATACTGTCAACATAAGTCCTCATTCCATCCACAAACATTCAATAGAAGTAAAACATAAACATTCAAGTGCGGAATTCAAATACATAATCTGGATTATCTACATGATAATTTTGGTTAAAGCAATATTGCACATACAAACTTCAAATACATAATCTGGATTATCTACATGATGATTTTGGTTAAAGCAATATTGCACATACAAACTTCAAATACATAATCTGGGTTATCTACATGATGATTTTGGTTAAAGCAATATTGCACATACAAACTTCAAATACATAATCTGGGTTATCTACATGATGATTTTGGTTAAAGCAATATTGCACATACAAACTTCAAATACATAATCTGGATTATCTACATGATGATAATTTTACTTCTATCAATTTCGTCCCGATCACACTGCTTCCAAAACCAAACTTCAAATGGGCATGCAAACTTCAAATGAAAGGATTATCTACATGATAATTTTGGTTAAAGCAATATTTGATTATCTGGAAAAGAAAAACAAAATCAGGAGCAGGAGCAGGGTGAATTCAAATACATAATCTGGAAAAACATGCACATGCACATTGCTCCAGATAAAGTTTGCAACGAAATCATTATTGATTATTGAAGCTGGATCAAGGAATGGAGCTGTTGTCAATGAATGGAGCTATCACTGTCGATTTCCAGCGAGGAATAGAGCTATCGTCACCGATTTCCGACGAGCGAGGAAGACGTCGTCAATTTCTGGCGAGGGAGAAAGACGTTGTCGTCGATTTTAGAGAGTTCAGATGCGATTTGGGTGGGATTTCAGAGAGAACAAAAGACAAAGCCGAAACCGTGAGAATTTTCGCAGAGAACAGACAACAGAGACGAAGCTGATAAATTTTTGTAGAGAACAGAGTGTTTGTTGAGAAATTTTCGTAAGAAAAACTGAAAAAGACTTAAAGAGAAGAAGATGAGAAAGGGTTGTGTCGCGTCGCGTATTATGTATTTTTAATAGTTGGACTAGTTTATCCGCCGGTCTGATTGGACTGATGATTCACTGATATTATCCAATTTTCAAACGGTTTGAAGCGGCTCAATGTATAATAACGGTTTTGGGGTTGACTCTAACCGGACACATGACCAATTCCCGACCGACCGGTCCGGTCCGGTTTTTAAAATAGTGGCATCCATAAATGTTGGACGGTTGTTCATTCACGAAAGACTCCAGCATGGTCATGTCTGACTAGTTGCCATGTCCTTTAGTACAAAAATTCGATTTAAAATTTCGGTGTCTGTAGCATTACTCATATATAAAAGGGATGATGTTACCCCGTCTTAATCTAATGGTCTATCAACCCTTGAACCGTGATCTAAGGATTTATGTGAAAAGTTCCATTACCTTGAACGAGGGTGATATTACTAATATTGGTCATTGAATCTAATGGTCTATGAACCCCTACATCGTGATTCAAGGGTTTGTGTGAATAATATCGAGGTTAAGGTTCGTTTGAATTGTTTCATTACCCTAATGCTATGGATGAATCCCTCATAAGCGATAATAGTTACTAGTAATGTGAAAAAAAAAAAAAATGAAAATTTTGGTGATATAGTATTTGTTAATATGCCTCTCCCTAACAATTTCTTGCACAAATTGTGAGCCGTTGGATCAATACATTTCCAATAGTTGAGATCAAACCTAACATATATAGTTAATGCATCTATGGAACATTGGAACATTACATAGATCAGATTTAATCTCATCCTCGAAAGAGCAAAGATCTAATGGCTCAAATGGCTCATAGTTTATGTATAGAAGGAAGGCATTAACCATGAATCGAAAATGAAAGAGAACCAGGGAGAAAACAAGAAATGGAGAATTGTCGATCGACATTTTTCATGAGCAACAAGCAAAATCAACCAATTTCTATTTTGTTTTGCATCAAAGCTAACAAAGATATTACACAACAGCACATTTCAAATGTAAAATGAACAAAAGAAAACTGATTCAAGCTTCTATGCTAAAAGTTCTTATAAAACTGACCATACTTGGAGATTTTGTCTAAAATTTTACTAATTTAACTTATACATACCATATGCATTGAGTTTTTATATTAACAAACGCACGCATCGTAGCATGCCTTTCGACTAATAACGGTTCCCCTCGAGCAAATTCCTCAATGCAAAATCTTAAAAGAAAATGAAACAAGGTATAGAAGAAAATGGATTTAGGATGATACCAACTTCATAATAGTATAGCAGCCAGTAATAAAGGTCTCAAATGACCTGTTGCTTACTCGCCTACTTGTGAGGGTTCATATGTGGGTAGAGTCTAGATACATGCTCCGACATGAAGTCATGTCAAGTAATGATTCCAACAATTGGAGGCCTCTGCAAAATATAAAACATAAAAAACAATGGTTAAAGTGGTGCCTGAAAATCATTTGTAACAAGAACTTTCTAAACATTTAAGTCTTGGAAAAACGTTTGTTGATTCCAACCTATGTTTGTTTTTGCATGTGTGTTAGAGAGAGGGAGAGAGAATCTTACAATGGGTGTTTTTGGCACCCGAAGCAAGTGCCGGAGGCCAAGCTCCAGAAAGAGAACAACTGCTTTAGCTAGGGACATGGTTTCCATGACTGTGTATGGGGACATATTGGTAATGGGATGGAGATAACATACATCTCCATTTCTCGTTTGCAAATATCCAAATCTTCAAGCTTGACTCCTCCTGCGTTTGCAAAATCATGCGCCCTGAACCTCCTCGTAATTTTTGATCCTGTCATAATTTACTGTTTCATAAATTTCTGTCCTTTAAGCAAAACAAGAAGATGAGACCTCAAAACTAGTCCACACAACTCCGGAGCATCCGAGAAAGGTGGTTCGTCAATCATAGGGAAACCATGATGCCTTGTTATCTTTAGTGCATGTACAATATTCCCCACTTTCTCGACACCAGAAAATGAAATTGATACAACCACCTGCAGATTAAATCAAACCACACCCAACCAGCAATAATTTTCACACAAATCAACCAACACACAGTCAACCACAACTCAAGACACAAATGCAATTCCTGCACTGCTTGTATTAAACAGAATAACTGGATGAAAATAGAACAGATGAAAAATGGAAATAACCGAATATAAATCCCTGGCGTTTCGAGGAGCCAGGAGCCTCCACTATTTTATCAACCCAAAATCAAAAGTTGTTCCCTACTACATCTCTCCCTGAATATATACTAATTCCCTTTTTCCACAATTACCCTTACTCACACAATTTGTATTCTCAAAACAGAATCCCCCCCAATGACACCTGTACTTTGTGGACCCACTCCCTTAACAACCTTCCTAATGCTTTTTACGCCCGTTAAGGGTGTAGACTTTATGCACTGCTAGCTTATCAATACCCACCCCCCCCCCCCCCCCCCGCCTTGAAGATTCACCTTGTCCTCAAGGTGAAATTGTGGGAACTATATTTGAATCACTTCATATGGTTCCCAGGTGGCTTCAAAATCAGGTAAATGCTGCCATTTGATGAGAACCTCTTTAGACCCATCTGACAGGGTACACACAGCAAGAACAGTATCTGGTTGGACCATTAATTCTATGCCTTCAGAGAGTGAGTCCGGAAGGGGTTGGATGGGTACCGATTGATGTAAGCTCCTCTTGAGTTGAGAAATATGGAAGACAGGATGAATACGGGCTGTGGAGGGCAGGTCCAATTTATAAGCCACTGGTCCTATGCGTTCCAAAACAGGGTAAGGACCATAGAAACAAGGACTGAGCTTCTCATTCATTTTTCGGGCAAGGGACTTAAACCTGTACGGCTGAACTTCAGGAAAACTGAGTCACCAGGCTGGAAACAATCATCTCGCCGATGAAGATCAGCATTGTGTTTCATGCGAGCTTGAGCCGCAACTAAATTGTCCTTAAACTCTCTTAATATGGCATTACGTTCAGTCAATTGGACATTGATATCTTCCACGGCGGATGGACAGTCTGTGAATTTTAAATGGGTGGGAGGATCTCATCCATAGAGGGCCTTGAAAGGTGTCATTCAGATGGACCCGTGGTAGGTTGTATTGTACCAGTATTCTGCCCAAGTAAGCCAATTAGGCCACTGTCGGGGCTGAGAACTGCAGAAACAGTGGAGATACGCTTCGAGGCACCTATTGACTACCTCTGTTTGTCCATCAGTCTGCGGATGTTAAGCCGAACTAAATTTCATAACAGTATCGGCAGCCTTGAACAACTCTTGCCAAAACTGACTCATAAAGAGTTTGTCTCTGTCAGAGACAATGGAATTGGGAAAACCGTGTAGCCGGACCACTTCCTTAACGAATATGGTGGCGACATCCTTTGCATTGTATGGGTGACCGAGACTAAAAAAATGGATGTACTTGGTTAGACGGTCAACGACAACAAAGATGGTATCAACTCCCTTCGAACATGGTAGTCCCCCGATAAAATCCATAGAGATATCCTCAAAGACCTGTTCTGGAATGGGCAGAGGCTAGAGGAGTCCGGCAGGTTTTAACGATGACTGCTTATTCAGTTGACAGGTGGTACAAGTTTTAATGTAGCTTTGTATATCTCCCCGAATACCCTTCCAATAAACTACCGAAGATACTCTCTTGTAGGTTCTGAAGAAACCCGAGTGGCCTCCACTAGGACTCTGATGGAATTCGGACAGTAATTTGGAAACAAATCTGGACCCTTTTGGAATAACCAGCCTTTCCTTATAGAATAGGCAGCCCCTGCGGATATGATAGTTGGGTCGGCTAGAAGAGTCCAGGAGAAGATCCTGAATGATTTCCCTGAGTTTCGGATCTGTTTGTGCCTCCATGGCCATCTCCTCAAATTCAGAAAACTGTACCGTAGATAAGGCTGAAAGGTGTGCCACTTCGGTTCCATCTTTTCTTCTTGAAAGAGCATCTGCTACTCGGTTGGAAGCCCCTGGGTAGTACTGAATGTCAAAGGTAAAACCCATTGGCTTGGAGATCCATTTGTGTTGTTCCGGAGTATTTGATTGTTGATCCGTTAAAAACTCGAGGCTGCGCTGATCAGTTTTGATGAGGAATTTTCTGCCCAACAGATAGTGACTCCATTTCCTAACTACAAAAACAATGGCCATCAATTCACGCTCGTAAACCAATTTCGGCTTACCTGTAGGGGAGAATGCCTTGCTGAGAAATGCTATTGGTCGAGATTGCTGTACCAAAACAGCCCCGAGACCTCTTCCAGATGCGTCTGTCTGAATTTCAAAGGGCCGTGCGAAATCTGGAACTGCTAAAACAGGGACGGTAATCATGGCTTCCTTGAGTCTATCAAAAGCCGATTGAGCTGAATCATTCCAAGTGAAGGAATCCTTCTTTAATAACTGAGTAAGGGGCTGTGCAATCGAACCATAACCTTTTACGAATCTCCGGTAATAACCTGTCAGCCCAAGGAAACCTCTCAATCCCTTCACATTTACAGGTCGTAGCCAGGATACCATAGATTCAATCTTTTTCGGATCTGCCTCAACTTCATGTTCCGAAACCAGGTGACCCAAATATTCCAGCTTAGATTGGCCAAAGGAGCACTTTTTCTTGTTAACCACCAGTTTGTATTCCTGCAAAATCTGAAAGGTTAGTTGTAAGTGCTGAATGTGTGTGGTTAGGCAGGAGCTATACACAAGGATATCATCAAAGAAGACCAGGATAAATTTACGGAGGACTGGCCTAAATATTGAGTTCATTAAGGCTTGAAATGTGGAGGGCGCATTAGTGAGACCAAAAGGCATCACAAGGAACTCATAATGCCCCTCATGTGTGCGAAAGGCTATTTTGGGAACATCAACCTCTCGCACCCTAATTTGATGATACCCTGACTTAAGGTCCAGTTTAGTGAAAATTGCTGCCCCGGCTAATTCATCAAGTAATTCTTCAATGGTTGGTATTGGGAATTTATCGGGTATGGTAATATTGTTTAATGCCCTGTAATCCACACAAAACCGCCAACTTCCATCCTTCTTTTTGACCAATAGAACAGGGCTGGCGTATGGGCTAACCTAGGCTGGATAATCCCTGCAGACAACATTTCCCTAACCAGCCTCTAGATTTCATTCTTCTGAAAATACAGGTATTTGTAGGGTCAGATATTGGGTGGTTTGGAACCTAGTTGAAGTTCTATGGCATGGTCATGGGTCCTACGGGGTGGTAATTTAGGATTTTGGTCAAACAGTTGTGGGTACCTGTATATCAACTCTAATATTCCAGGGTCAATTTCCTCCTGTATTGGCTCTTCCTTCAACCCTATGGATCCAAATTCCACCACATACCCATTTCCCGCAGCCTGTAAAGTCCTAACCATAGTCTTCAGTGATACCTTTGTCTTTACTAGTAGGGGATCCTCTCGCAGTTTCACCCTCTTCCCTTCCCAGTCAAATTCCATAGTTAATCTCTGCCAATTGGCGCTCACATCCCCCAAACTACTCAGCCACGTAACCCCCAAAACCACGTCTGCACTTCCTAATTTGAAAGGGAAAAATTCCTGCTGTATCTCAATTCCCTGAAGTTTTAACCTCACTGCCTTACAAATCCCTTTTCCCCAAATGGTACATCCATCCCCAACCATTTCTCCAAAAGGCTTTCCCTCATCCACCTTCAACCCTAGCTTTTGTACGACCCCATGGGACACAAAGTTGTGGGAGGCCCCACTATCCACCAAAACCACCACCCTTTCATTCCCAATCTCCCCTTGTAATTTCAAGGTTTTTCCCGATGAAATTCCCACAATGGAGCTCATCGAAAGGGCTACAGATTTACTTTCACCGTTGGCTTCTTCGTCATTTTCTGTTCCAATTTTCGATGGGTTTGTGTCATCGTCATCCAGGAGTAACAACACTTGCAGAGTCTTGTTTTTACACCAGTGGTTTGGTCCATACTTCTCATTGCAGCGGTAACAGAGCCCACGCTCTCGCTTGTACTGCAGTTCAGCATCAAAAAGCTGTCGAAAGTTGTCAGTTCGGTTGACAGACCCCACAGACTCAGTCGCCTTCTCTCTTGGTTTGGGGCCTTTGCTGAAGTTTGACGTAAACGAAGATGGATCTGGTGGTTTTGTGCTGAAATTCCACCAATTAGTGCGCGTGGGTTCTGGGTTTGGGCTGACCCGTGAATATGGCTCCCCACGACCCGTTAGGTTTCTAAATGGCTTGGGCCTTTGTTTATCCAATACCCAATTCCTCTCCTCAATCCTGTGGGCTTGATCCATCAGCCCAAACAAAGTATTTGGCTGAGACAAACGAAGCTTAGCTTTTATATCTTCTTTTAAGCCATTCGCGAAAATTCCCTTAAGCAAATCATCACCCAGGTCCTTCAATGGTGCCGCACTAGATTCAAACTATTCCCTATATTCAGTAACTGTCCCATCTTGTTTCAAGGCCACTAAAGCCTCATATGTTGATCCTTTAAATGATGGTCAGAAACGATCGATCAAAGCTGTTTTGAAGGTTTCCCACGACTGAAAAGGTGCTCGGGATTCGACCCATTGATACCAGCTTAAAGCTCTTCCCTCCATGCAAACTGCTGCTGCTTCCACCATTTCTGTCTCTTGGAAACGATTGATGGTGAAGTAGCGATCTGCTCTGAAGGACCATCTAAACGGATCCTCACCATTAAAGATGGGTAACTCCAGCTTTCGGTTGTTCTTTTTATCGTCTTTCCCACTGTCTTCCCGTTCTGATTCCTTATCTCTACTGATATTCTGGTTCTTTGCCAATGAAGAAGACTTCTCTCTTTCTTGTTCTCTTCTTCCTTCCTTCTCTTCTCTCATGCGCATTAACTCCCTCATTTCTGTCAAATATTCTTTCACACTACCCATGTCAATTTTCAAGGATCCTATGTCTTCCTTCACTGTATTCATTTCCTTCTCCACACTATCCATCCTAGTCTCCATTTTGGATTTTACCATTCCCCAACTTGGCTCTGATACCAATTTGATACAACCACCTGCAGATTAAATCAAACCACACCCAGCCAGCAATAATTTTCACACAAATCAACCAACACACAGTCAACCACAACTCAAGACACAAATGCAATTCCTGCACTACTTGTATTAAACAGAATAACTGGATGAAAATAGAACAGATGAAAAATGGAAATAACCGAATATAAATCCCTGGCGTTTCGAGGAGCCAGGAGCCTCCACTGTTTTATCAACCCAAAATCAAAAGTTGTTCCCTACTACATCTCTCCCTGAATATATACTAATTCCCTTTTTCCACAATTACCCTTACTCACACAATTTGTATTCTCAAAATAGAATCCACCCCAATGACACCTGTACTTTGTGGACCCACTCCCTTAACAACCTTCCTAATGCTTTTTACACCCTTTAAGGGTGTAGACCTTATGCACTGCCGGCTTATTAGAAATTAACGGACCAGAAACAACGTCACTTGTGACCAAGTTCTTCATGTATGGTTCAGCATGGGTTTCTAGATAAGGCAACCCCTTTATCTTGACAATTTGGTCATAGACACCCTTGTTGAAACAATCGGCCATGGTTTTTGAAATAAGAAGAACAAGCATCACCAATGGGAGCATCAATAAGTCATTAGTAAGTTCAAGAAGTATAACATGGAGAGACACAGTCATTCTCATTGTGCCACCCAGGAAGGAAGCAGCTTCGAGAAGGGCAAAGAGACCAGCATCAAGATCAGATAGAGAACCAAGGAGTGTCCCACCAAGGCACCAGCAAGTATGACTGGAATGAAGAGCCCAGAGGGAACAACAATCCCATAAGTGATAATGCCAGGGCAGTATATAGCAGCAAAGAAAACTAGAAGCATAGAGAGGTGAAATGCCTGTGCAGTGCCAGAGCTAAACAGGTTGCGGATCGCATCATCATTGATGTTGAAAAAGAGAGAAGCAAGGTCATTGTAACAGCCTGGTGGACATTGAAAATTCTTATAGTTTCCAGAACGACCTACAGTTGGGCATTGTTCCTCTTATAGGTAAGAAGGGCAAGGAATGCACTGTGAAAGCCATGGCAGGCCATACGAGCAACAAGAGGACAAAAGTGAAATAACGATGACAAGCAGGAGTTTGAATGAAGGACCTCTCTTGCAATTCACTCTCAATCAGCAACATGGAAGACACAGCAAAATTGTATATGTAAAGTTATCTTTCGTGGAAGCAATAATAATACTCATGCAACCTAACTTTATAATAATGTATCTAAAAATCAAGAGCTATCATGCACGAGTTAAACATCTAGCCTAATGTGAAGAAAAGTATGTTTCTGTCATCCTGAATTTAGAGCTTTAACAAAGGTTTCACGGCTATCATAAACTCTGACATTAACTACCAAGAAAATTACACATAAGTGTCGTTTATAAAATATGGAATATAAGATATAGTCACTGAAACAAAATCTGGTAATTAAGTATAGCTATCAACGTATTCATAAATATCTTTACTACCATGTGTGTGCGTGTGTGCAAATGTGCCTTAATAAGCATCATGTAAAGGAGAAGTTCAGGGCTTACTTATTGATGATGCTATATGTATGAAGAACTTTGTCCACAAGGTAATTGTAAAGGCTTCCAAAAATTCCTCCAATAATTCCAAGGAAAATAACTACAAGCAAATCAGCAGTGCTGTAACTGCTCCTTGAAGAAAAGACATCGAACATGATCAGACCACCTTTCCTAAAGTGTCCACATTTTCCACTTCGACAGAATTCTATCAAACCTCTCAAAACCACAGCCACTACAGCTGTTGTAAAAAATGTCCTCCAAAGAAGAGCACTCCGCCACCTGAACAATTTCACGAATAAAATAAAAATGAATCCAAAACATAGTTTTCTCCAATTTTTTCTAACAAGCCGACTTGAGTAAATCTGAGGTATTGCATTCTTTAAAAATTGACAGTGTAAATCTAGCTGCTAGCTGTTAAACAGCATTTGTTGAAAAACAGGGCGGAGGAGGAACATAACATGAAGTTGCTTCTTCAAGGGCAAAGAGAACCCCACCAGCGGGGGCACGAAAGGCAGCTGCTACACTAGCAGCTGCACCACATGTAATTAAATCGCTGCGGTCTCGATCATTTTTGAAGTATCTGAGCCATTTCCAGGTCAAACGCTAGTTTCTTGAACCACCTTGTCCAAGTAAATTGGCTATACAAGCACCAATATGTACCATAGGTCCTTCCTTACCGACAAGAAGTCCAGCAGCAACTCCAAAAATGGAACCGAAAATCTGCCAAATTTAGATCTGCTAGTTATAGCAAGTTTGTTTTCGAATGGAGCTCATGACAGAAACATGCATCAAACAAACCCAGTCGATTCAAAGGCTACAAAAGTATAAGCATGAGATGGAAGCTCTATAAACCTCCGAGAAACAGGCTATGCGTTGGGAACTGATAAACATTCAGATAAGATTCTAGGTCCTACTATGCAGTCAATTGTAGCTAATTTCTTATACATGTGTCAAGAGAGAGTTTCAAACTCACCTTTACAAAGAGGGTGCTTGGAGCCAATATAGAATGAGCATCTATGCCATTGAGGTATGCTTTTACCTCAGGAATACCAGATCCTGCTGCGGCAAGGGCAATAAAAGCATAGAGAGCCGAAGCGATAATAGCCAAAACCATGTTGCAACTTGCATATGTTGCGAATGCCTGAAAATACCTGTACTGGAGTAAGGATCATTTAATAGTTAATCAAAAGTTATACAAGCCTCAAAGATTTGGTCTACTCTAAAAAACTCGGACACTATGCACAAGGTCGTATTAGCTTACTTTTCACTAAGCATGAGATTGTTGGTCAGAAGAAGTTTGACCCCAGGTAGATTCTCAACAGCAAGATTATTGAGAAAGCCAACAATCCCTGTAGCCAGCCCAATCAGGAGTGCAAGTGCCCTCTTGAGAACAACATACTGAAATATCTCAACCTTTGTTCTTGACCTCCAGTCTTGCTTAAAAAGCTCATTCTCGACAATCCTGCCAAAGATGCACAGAAACAAGCGAGGAGGAACACTTATATCTAGTCCTTAGATTTTTTTTGTCAGGCACTAAAGTATTGCACTCATCAATTCAAGACATCACATAAACCACTAGCATTAGCCAAACAAAAAATTTCTATAAAAAATATTAAAAAATGATTAAAAGCCTCATGGTTGGTAGCACATAAAACATATTACTCAAAATCGAGATTCCAATTTCCTCCTTTTTCCAGCTGATTAAACAAAGCCTTAATAATGGTATACAGAAAACGAGACAACAAGAGGCAAATAAATTAAAATTAGATTCTAACGTGAGATCAGAGACTCTTTTTGACATCATTCTTCTTTTTCTGGCAACAAAACATCCCATTTGAACTCTTATTTTCTTTACTTCCATTTTTCCTGCAACTCAATCGAAGCCTAAAAAGCATGCACACAGAATTAAAAACATAAGGGAAAAAAAACCTAAAAAAAAAAAAAAAAAAAGAGGTAAACAATCAAAAGCAAAATCTAGCGAAAGATCCAGCACTCTTTCGTTTCCTTTCCCTAATTGTTCTCACCAACCAAACAAAGAATCATCTGAAACACAAATTACACAATGCGAACTTTCCTAAACAAAAACAACATAAACAAAACAAAAATTTCTCATCTTCCAATTCTCTTTCCTCTGCAAATCCCCACTTAACACACACAACCTAGAATTGTAAATTAAAAAAAAAAAAAAAAAATCAGAAATCTAAAGCCAAAATTAAACTGGAAAGTGTACAACATACTCATAATCAAGAAATACAAACAGACTGCTCATCTGGTAGCCTAGTGATGTGGCAAAACAAAGGTGATTCAGAGGAAAGACCTCTACCCGTGTTCTAGCCTAGCTGAAAATTTAGGTTCCTGGAGAGGTTAAGCTTTCGGAAAGTTCATAAGACTTGTATATGAACTGATTGTACTTCATTTTTCAATTAGCACCACAAAATAATAAGAAGTCTTCAATATTCGAAAACTCTCTAGAATTTCTCTTTTAACTCTCTGTAATTTACATTTTCTGAGTCCAAAAAAAAAAAAGAAAAAAAAAAACAAAACAAAACAAAACAAAACAAAAAAACAAAAAAAAAAAGACAGATGTCCAAATTCCGACTTCCCACATACCAAACAGAACTCAGAAAAAATTAAATAAAATAAAATAAAATAAAGCATAGAAAACCAAAAACTAATAAAATCAGAAAGTTTACAAAATACTCATAAGCAAGAGACAAATTCCATGATGTCAACTTTGCCAAACAGAAACAAAATTTCCCTTCTTTCAATTCTTTTTCCTTCATATTCCCTCATGCCAAATACAACTTAAAGTTACCACCAAAAAAAAAAAAAAAAAAAAAAAAAAACCAATATTAATCAGATCAGAAGGTTTAAAACATGTTCATAATCAAGAGAGACAAATTCCATTATGTCAACTTTGCCAAACAAAAACAAATTTTCCCATTCTTTTTCCTCCACATTTCCACATACCAAACACACCTCAGAATTTAAAATAAATGAAACAAAACCAAAATGAATAAAATCAGAAAGTATACACCATACTCATATGTAATCTTTCAATTCTTTTTCCTTCATATTCCCAGATACCAAACACAACTCAGAATTAAATTAACAGAAACCAAGATCAAATCAGAAAGCGAACAACATACTCATAATCAAGAGACTCAATGGGGCAAACATTGGCACCAACAATCGCAATCTTAGAAGTAGTATTGATTCTGCTCTTAAGCAACAATGGCTCTCTCACCATCATACCAAATTCTTTTCCATGGTCCGATGTTTCTGACCCAAACCTTTCATATTTCTTACTCTGATCATTATTCAACCCTCCTCCTTCAATCTCTATATCATTATTAGTCTTATCTCTCACAACACTATTACTATTATACTCCATCTTCTTCTTCTTCAACCAATCAAATAAAAATCTTTTATAAATCTTCAAAACAATTTCTTCTGCATAATGGTTGCTTCCAAAACCACCTTAAATTCAAAATATTTCCCAAAAACAAAAACAAATCTTTATCAATTCTTATCAATCAAAAACAAAACTTTCCCTTCTATATCTCTTCCTTGCTTCCAAAATCCCTTTCAAAACATTTTACAAAAACAAAAACAACCCCATACTCAACAATAAAAAACAAAAGCTTCTGTTCTACGTCTTTCTAAAACACTTTCTTCTACGTGAATCTTGTTTCCAAAAGCACTTTAAATGAAAAACAGTTTCCAGAAGCAAAAACAACCCATTTGAGCTCGGTACATCAAAACATTAATCGATACCAAACCAGAAATGTGAATCCAAGTTTGCTTTTTTTCTTTTGAGGGGAGAGTTTCAATAGTAGCCGTGAAAATTAAAATTATAAATTTACTAAAAACAAAAAGAGTAATTGTTTCTAGCCTAAGGTGTCTGGAAACGGCATATCAGTACTCAGTAGGGGTGTTCAAAAGAATCGGTTGGAATCGGAACCGGCGGGTGCCCTGGGTTTGGTTCCGGTTCCTACCCAGAACCAATCGTCAATGGGTAGGTTCCGGTTCCAAATTTTTGGAACCGTTACTGTACGGTTTCGGTTTCGGTTCCTATAGTTAGGAACCAGAACCGGAACCAGGAACCAAGAACCGAGACTAATATAAAATAAAATTAAATATTAGGGGGGTTAATAAAAACTTTTGTAGAAAAAGTAATGTGAATATATTTATATTTATATTTCGTAACATTTAAAATAAGTTGGTTTGACATTTGAGAATCTACCTTTACAAAGTAATAGAGTTTGTCAGTTTGAATTTATAACTTGTAATTTTATTTTTGTTAACAAGTGCCAGGTGGGGGGGTATTTGTAAGTTTTAAGGGTTTTTTTGTCATTTTAAAAACTTTTGGGGGGTCATCTATTTTTACAGGGTACCCGGAACCTGAACCGGAACCATTGTTACAGGTTCTGGTTCTGGGTCTATTTTTACAGGGTACCCGGAACCTGAACCGGAACCATTGTTACAGGTTCTGGTTCTGGGTACCCAGAACCAGAACCTGTAACAATGGTACCTAGGAACCAGAACCATAGGTTCCTGTTCTGGTTCCAAATTTCAAGGAACCGTCGTTCTGGTTCCGGTTCCGGTTCCGATTCCTTCAAAAAGTGTAAGGTACCCGGAACCGAACACCCCTAATCAGTAGTATAATAAATGTAAAAAATTATTTTTATTTTATGGGAAAAATGACAAGGCGTTTAAGGTCTCTCTTTATAAACCAAGTAGATCAAAAGTACTTCTGTTGGTTTATCCGTTTTATGTACTTTTTGTCTGGAGAATTTCATTTTTTTTCACTAAAGGACACTTATTTCAAACATGATCTTTTTAGTCCTTTTCCTTTAATAGAAATTTGTTCGATGTTAGTTATATGTTAATTGACTTTAAAGTTATACTGAAATGACAAAAATACCCTTCTAAAAATGATGAAAAATAATAAAAACAATATAATAGAATTATTTATACTTCCAAAGTGATATCTCATCCCAAATTAAGCATGGCAATGGGCCCTGAAATTTCGGGGCCTAGTCTTGACCCATCCCCAATGGGGCGGGGATTTCCTGGTTTTTTCGCGGATAGGGGTGGGGATGGGAGGATTTTTAATCCCTGTCCATGGGGATGGGGAGGGGGAAGGAATTGCCCTTCCACTGCCCCGCCCTGCCCCGCCTATATATATACTTTCACTAATACCTTTATATATTTCTCCTAATTACACAACTATTCTACTTATATAAATCCATATTTTCCCTATTTCCCTCAACCTAAATAGTTGAACAAGAACAAACCCTAACCCTTAAGTCTTAAACTTGTCGCCATTGCCATTTGCCCTTAGCCGACTTCATATTGTCGTTCACCGACGCTAATTTGATCTCTCCGATCCAGCCAAACTTCAACCAAAGGTAAAATTAACGGGGCGAGGACAGACTTTCAACATTACCATGGAGTGGGGATGGGGAATTCTTGTCATCCTCGCAACGGGGATGGGGCGGGGGTGGGGAGTGATTTTGAGGGCGGATGTTGGAACGGTGAACGAGATCCCTGCCCTGCCTCGCCCCATTACCATGCCTCGCCCCATTACCATGCCTATCCCAAATGATGTATCTGTTAGAGTAGATGCCCTAAAGCCAATCAATTATTGTAGAATTGACTCTTTATAATAATGTTCATTGATCAATAAAAGGCATTTTATACTATATCGCGTAAATCATCATTGTATGTATTGATATATGTCCTTAGAATGGTAGAACCGTGATGAGGGTATCAAGTATTTCAAATCTTGATAGTGAGAACCCTATGAGCACATACAGTGGCCATTCTAGAAACATCTGTAGCTCTAGTATTATTCTGAAGTAAGGGCATAGATAATACGGTAAGGCTATCATAGTGTTAAATGACCATGTCAACATGGTGCAACACATGGGTGCTTGTTGTAGGCAAGTTAACTGGACTGACCCACCAGAGGATTCCATATGGATGGTAACCCTAGTGTCTATGGAACAAATCCTTTAATATATGGTGGTGCATGTGATCCTTAGACTTGAGATCACCGGAGCGCCTTGTACACCGATTGGTGTAGTTTGACATTAGCCTAACGTAGTTCTATTCAAAGCTGTCAATACGGTGGTGATTGGCTGCATCAAGGAGTGTATCAAGACTATGGTGGATAGACAGAGGATTCATCACTCCCGGGTACGGAGAAGTTATCTCATGGCGCAATTCAATAAATGGCAATGATACTAAAACTGTGGCCACAGATGGATTGAGTTGTTGCTCTATCCAGTTTATAATACATGTCATTGGTCCAGTAACTAAATACACAATATCGAGAGTAATCGAAGGTTGACACTATTTCTATGTCTCGGTCTCGTTGAGATAACGGATGATGAAATGATCGAATTGTACAGTAACCATATCATTGACAGGCAGCTACTTTGCTGAATCTGAATCTATCGGGTGGCCATGATGCCTTGCTAGGGGCAATCTTGGTCTGTGTTTAGTGAGACAATTAATTGGTATTAATTGCGATACTACACACTACCGGTAAGATAAGGAGCCTATGAGTCACACACATAGAAGATAATTTAAGAGCTAGAAAGAAATAAGGGTGTTTTCGTCTTTTTAGGTGAAAGGGTATTTTGGTAATTTTACAGTGCAATTAAATTTGCTGAGGTTGTAGCCTTTATTTAATTTGTTAGAAAAATTAAATAAGTGAGATTGCGTTTAAATATGTGTTCGCATATATTTAAATAAATTATTATTATTGTTAAATGTTAATATATATTAAATATATATTAATTGATTTTAATTGAGATAATGATAAACAAAATTAAAATATCTAAATGGGAGTGTTTGGAAATAAGGGGTGTTTGGGTTGGAGCCCAGGCCTATTCCATAAGGGAATAGGGCAATTAAACTTGCACTATAAAAGAAAAGGTTTAATTGAGAGAAAGATGGATTTTTCATTATTTCATTTCATTAAAAAGAAAAAGCTACAACCCCTTGAAAACTCTCTCATGCCAAATTTGGGTTTTGGTTTTAAATCAAATACACTTCATTTTCTTCTTTGTTCTCAAGGCTAAAGAGGATCTAGCAAATCTCTCTTTATTTCCTTGCGATTATCTTCGTATGGATTACATTGGTTCGATCCTACGCTTGGGTCGGTAGCAAAATACGTTCAGAGACAAAGTTGGAGGAGCCTCCAAACGTGTGTATGATTTCTTAAACTCTAAACTAATTTTCTGCAGAGTCTTGTTTTGATATAAACTATAAATTTGTGCCCTGATCTTGGTTCTATGGAACGATCCGTGTTGTTATTGATTTTTGTTTTCCGCTACGTCAATGGATCATTTTTTAACAGTATCATCTTATATGACTTTGATGTATAAATGAAGAGTTGATCTGATAGATGATATGTCGTTGTTACATAAGACGATACATCTTTTAAAAAATAAAATTTTAGAATTTCACATGGGGAATCTAGTACTACTCCAAACAACACTAATTTAATTGGAACTCTTTCCCTTAACATTGTTAAATAAACATTTACACGTTAATATTGATTGTATAAATATATTTTTCATTATTTTCTAGAAGAGTATTATGTCATTTTAATATAATTTTCAAACCAATTAACAGTTAGTTAACAGTCTATTAAATCAAAGGACTAAAATAAATGTATTTAAAATAAATGTCCTCCATAATAATAATCTGAGACCACAGGGATGAAAAACTCCCCCCTTTTTGGTTTCAGTTTGGGTCTTCTCTAGGCTATGTTTGGTCAGTGTCTTCAAAGAATACAATTTATAAGATTGTGGTTGAGACCTTGAACTAGTTTAACGTCTTGTTTTTACAATTGAGTGTGTCAAACGGATCATAGTAATTAAAACGTGTCAAAATTAATTTTTAAATTTGGCCAAAGCAAAATCTATTTTTAAGGGGAAAAAATGGATAATATCATCTGATCAAGGAAATTTTGGTACAAATACAACCAATTAATAATGAATGAGTACAAATGCCACCACCACTAGTTTAACATCTCGTGATTGATTGGTTTTTTACTTGTAATGTATAAGAGAGAGAGAGAGAAAATTCTATCCATTAGATAGTAATAAAAATGAAAATTTTATCCAATTTTATCCACCATTTAAGGATATTTAACTATTAATAAGTTTTGGATAGAACGGTATTTAACTATTAATAGGTTTTGGATAGTACAAATTTATAACCAACCAACAAAGTAAGAACTATTAACTG